CTTGGAATATACCCAAAGAATACAACTTCTTAGATTCAAAAAGACATATGCACCCCTATGTTCATTGCAGCACTTTTTACAATAGCCAAGGTATGGAAGCAAGCTAAGTGTCCATCAGTAGATGAATGGGTAAAGAAGATGTGGTACATATATACAATGGAATACTATTCAGCCATAAGAAAGAAACAAATCCTACCATTTGTAACAACATGGTTGGAGCTGGAGGACATTATGCTCAGTGAAACAAGCCAGGTGGAGAAAAACAAATACCAAATGATTTCCCTCATTTGTGGAGTATAAAAATGAAGCAAAACTGAAGGAACAAAATGACAGCAGACTCAGAGGCTCCAAGAATGAACTAGTGGTTCCCAAAGGGGAGGGGTGTGGGAGGGAGGGTGGGGAGGGAGGGAGAAGGGGACTGAGGGGTATTATGTTTAGTACACATGGTGTGGGGGATCACGGGGAGAACAGTGTAGCACAGAGAAGGGACATAGTGGACCTCTGGCAACTTGCTACACTGATGGACAGTGACTGCATTGGGGTATGGGTGGGGACTTGATAATATGGGTAAATGTTGTAACCACATTGTTTTTTCATGAAAAACCTTCATAAGAGTATATATCAATCATACCTTAATAAAAAATTTTAAAAAAATAATAATAATATTTTTCAAGTATTTTTCTTTGTTCTACTCCAAAGAAATAAGCATTATTGCTATAATTTCTTTTATGGTTTGTTTGTTTTATAGACAAAATTTAAAATATAGATAACAAAATCCATTTGATTACTTTTGTATCATCATACTTTTAAAAATGTAGTTGCTAGTATGTACTGAGTTACCTAGATCTAAGAATTTTATTTAACAAGTAGTTTAAAGAAAAAGGTTTAGATCTCTCAGCTAACCTGTGAGTGCTAATTTACTTTATCTTAGGGATCCTGCCTTTCAGATGATTACTGTTACCAAGGAAACAGGCCTTGGTCTGAAGATCATAGGAGGCATTAACCGGAGTGAAGGTCCCTTGGTATATATTCAGGAAGTTGTTCCTGGCGGAGACTGTTATAAGGTAAAAATGAGAATAAAAATAACCTCACCAAAAAAATGAAAGCATTGGTGATGAGGTTTGTTTTCCCACTTCATCAGTAAATTTTTAGTGTTAACTGAGTGTCTGCTGTGACCATTTCTCAGTGAAAGAGACTGGAAGGACTAGAAGATGGGCCTTTACCCTCAAGGAGCTTTAACCTAACAAATGAATAAGAAATAAATATGAAAACAGACTTTAGGTTCTAACTAAAGGTTATGTGTATTTTTAATTACATGCTGTTTAACTTATTATCCTAAGTCTGGTTGTGTGAAATTATATTTGAACACAGATCTATCCACTGCTATGAGTTTGGATAAAGATGATCACTTAAACTTGAACTACATTCATTAGCCTCTTCTAAATGCAAAACAAAACAAAAAACTCAGCAAATAAAATCTGCTCCTCCTTTTTGAATTTGCAAAAATTCTTGTTGAGTTAGTTAATTGCATCATTCATTAGTTCCCACATGAGAAATTAGACTTGGAATTAAGATGAGAAAATCTTTTTTTAGTAATTAGAAACCCTTACTCTCTTCTTCCTGTAAGAAATAGGTAATCATGAGTTCCTTTTTGCTCTGGTTGCTCAGAAGCTCTGACCCCACTTGAAGCAGGAAACCAACTTGATTAACAAACTGGTTACTATATTTGCATTCTCATTTCTCTGGAATTTCACTTGCTATTTCTGTTTTACTAACATGATTCTATATGACTTTTGTTGAAAATTGCTTCCAGTCCTTTTTGGAGAGAGATGGGATAAAAAATTTAATAAAATATTTTATTAATATTAAGCTATAAAGCATGAGAAAGAATCCTCTTATCATTGCCCATATTATTGTTGTTTTTGTTCTAATTGTTTTTGTTTGAGTAAATAGACCAACCCTTACCCTGACTCCCATGCCAAATACTTGTTTAGCAAACAGTTTATCTCTTCAGCTGGGTTTTTTTTTGTCTTGTTAGGAGATAAATCAGTTTCACCAATAACTTCCAAAGCAATAGAAATGATATCAGTTGTTTCAGGCTTGTTGAGATAATAAGGTATCTTCCAAATACACTTACCAAACTGTAAGTATTCTACAGTAAGTTTAGGATATCATAATGATATAAATTTTGCTATTAATTTTATAATGACATAAATTTTGACTGTTGATTAACCAACTAAGAGTATACTTATATGCTAAATTTAAACAAAATCAAGCAAAAAATGAAATTTTCCTTGTGAGAATTGAGATGTTTAGTACTACTTTAATTTTAAAGTTGAGGGGTGTATGCGTATGTTCATTCAGTATGGCTAAGATTTTTTTTAGACTGCACCTGATATACTAAAATAATAAATGATGCTGCCTAATAAGTGATAAGAATTTGCTTTTAAAGTAAGCATCAATTTATGCTTTTTTACCCATGAAAAATATTTGTAGTTAAAGTAATTAATTAATAGAAATAGTTCTGAGTGACTCTTCATCTACTGTCAGTAATAGCAAACTAAGAAATTATACCTCTAATATATACTTTTTCATGATTTTTTTAGAATTCAATTGAAAGGGTATTTAAAAGCAAGACCATTTAATGGGGCCGTATTCCGTATTTACCACTAGAGAGCAGCACAGAGTTATTAATGTTCTTTGATAATATCTGGTCAAGTCTGAGAGACAACAGTCAAAACAAAATAAGGTGTAGACAGAGAAGAATAAGTAGGTTTGCAGTGCTTACATTTATTTCTGTATACTTCCTCAGGATACTGTTATATGCATATTTACTCTGCAAATACAAATTATGCTAATTTATTTTAAAATATTTTTATTAATAGCATTTACTGTGTTCTGAATAATGTTAGGCATGTTAATAAATTTCTGATATGCACAAAATTTCTTTATAGTTGATGTACAGTAGGAAGCACAGGCTCATAAAGTTAACATTATTAAGTTGTTGAACTGAGGAAGTGTAAATATTTTTTAAATACCTGAATGCTTTTACCTGATCTAATTTTTTAAAATATTATATCATTTCAGAACTAACAATATTAACAATCTCAGGCTTACAGATGGATTATATTCCATTTATATTCCCAAACTTCCTATGTTAGGAGGCTATTAGAACTCTAATCTTCTTTAATTAATCATGGTTAGCTACCAGATCCCACCCCCATGCACACAAATGTTTTCTTCCTGGCATATATGAAATACAGTGTTTGTTTAGTAACCAAAAAAAAATATATTCAGAGTTCAAACTTGGAACATCTTAACACATTTGTCCAGTTCGAGGGGGAAAGAAGATTCTCCCAGCTCTAAGTGCTAGAGCAGCCTATAGGTGGGAGCAAATAGAGAAATGTTGAGAGCTCCAAGATGCCTTTCATCCCATCAGCCAGTCCCGTATCAGTCTCGAGTCCACACCTTTCAACCTTAGACCATTTTCTGGCTGAAATATTCCTTTGAGCTTCATACCTGCATATCTAATTGCTTGATCAACATTTCCATTTGGTTCTTTTTAAGGCACCCAACCCACGAATCTGAGGCTCAGGTCTCCTGATTGTCACACCACACCCTCATCTGCCCATCAGTTCCCAAACAGAGCTTCTTTCAGTGTTCCAAGTTTTAGTAAATGACACCTTCCAGTTGCACAAAGTCAGATAACCCAACAGCAACCTAACTACTTCCTTTCTCCTAACACCTATATCCAATTCATTAGCATCTCTGTTGATTTTTTTTTTTACTCTCTAAATATCTCTGGAGCCCAAAAGTCTTCTTGATTTCCACTGCTATCACCTTAGCTTAAAATACCATTAGTTTTTAGTCAGAGTTTTCAAAATAGCTTTGTCTTAAGGCCATGCCTATTTCCCTTCCTACCTATCTTACTAATACTTAGCTGCCTGCAAGGCTCTGTGTAAAGTGACTTCAGCCCTCTACTTCTCTGGCTCTCTATCTTTATGTATCCAGAGTGGCATTCTTCCAGTTCTTGAAAGTTCTTTCTCATCTCATGCTGTTCCCTCTGCCTGGGAGTACCAGCTGCCACCACCAACATTACTTCCAGACAGCAATTCAAAGACCACATCCTCAGGGATGTAGTCCCTGTTCCCTTCAGGCTACATCAGGTTTTCTTTTTTTTCTTAAATGTGCTCATAGATCTTCATCCTTTCCTTTATATCACCTGTCTTAGTTTGTAATCATATACTGATATCTGTGATTGTTTTATCAATTCTGCCTGAACCACAGACAGTATGTTTTCTAAGTGCAAGTATCTGATATTATTCTCAGTGTTATCTTTAGTCACCAGTGTGGTGCCTGACACATACTAATTGCTCAATTAATATTAATGAATAAATGTATGAATGAGTAATCCCTCAGTCATTCTGTCACATTCTGAAAATTACTGATCTGTTTACCATTCCACTGCCACTGTCTGGACTCTACACCAACGTACCTCTTTGTGTCAGATTCTGAACACTACTTTGAAATTTTCATGTTTTGTTTGTTTTTGTGTTAATAATCTAAAGAAAGCAGGCAGGAATCAGAAGTTTTTTTTCAAACCTGATGCAGCATTTAGCTGATTCTAAAACTCACATACTAAAGCACACACATACAAGATATATGAGATGGGTCTTACAATCAGTGTCACAGCATGATTAACAGCATTTTTTTTCTCTTACTGCTACATAAAATAATCATGTGTTGTACAACCAGTATTACCTCAGATTTGAATATTCAGGACCTTTTGTCAAACCCTATAATAAAGACAAAGATTACACAGATAAAGATACTAATTGTTAGTCATTGTTCACAAAGGATTGAAGTAAGGCATAGTAACGTTCAGAGGAAGTCTGTTTTCAGAATATGTTGAATGTATCAGTGGGACTGAGACCAAGGCTGTAAAGAACCCATTACCCTTGGTGGATCTAAAGGAGTGGCAGACCACGGAGCTCGCTTTGCAATGTCACTCTTTTTTCTCCTTTGCCATTATTACTTCTGTCAGAACCTTCTTAACTTCCTCAGAGTGCTTCTTGGGCTTTATTAGTATATTATAGACCTATGCTGGGAAACAACCATGAAGAAACATGGTTCTGGCAACCGAAGAATCAGAGCTGCTGGTTTGGAAGCTGAATTAATATGCTCCAATGGGAGAAAAATGTTATGTGAACAAATAAAGACAGTATGAAGTAAGTGCAGTAATAACAGAAAAGTAAAAGTGCTTCAGGAGCAAAGAGAGAGGGTCAACTAAATATATCTAGGGAGTTGGGGAAAACTTAGATCAGAGATAATGTCTTGAGTTTGTCTGTGAAGTTTAAGTGAGAGTTCTTGAGACAGAAGTGGCTGGGTTGGTGGCGGCATTCTAGACAGGAATTATTATGTGTAAAAGCGTTAAGATTTGAAAGATTATAGCTGAGTTGAAGAACATTTTCTAAGAATAGAATGAAGACTTTATATGCTGAGAAAGGAAGGTGGATATAGGCCAGAAAAAGTAGGTTGCAGCTAGTTTCTTGTCCTGGGTTTGGGAAGTCAAGGAGTTTCAACTTTACTACCTGTGGGCAGCCATCAGAGTTCCTTAATTTGAAGAATAACAGCTTAAATTTGTTATCAGTGTGAAGATTTCCCATAACAGACATGGGATTCTGGGTCAACTCACCTTTATTTAACACCTACAATGTTCTAGGATTTTATGTATGTTATTTAATTATTACAGTAACCTTGTATGATAAGTATTCATCCCTATTTCATAGCTAAGAAAATGAAATCTCATTGAGATTAAACAACTTGCCTAAATTCACATTAATGGTCGGTAATAAAATAAATTGACAGTTTATGAAAGTATGGGAGAGGAATCTGAAGGTTTGTCGGAGCTTTTCAGAGTCAGGTGGTATAGTTGGTTTCTGATAATATGGTAGCGTTATTTAGAAAACTATGTAATAGTATAATCTGACATGAGTAGTACTGATAGTTTTTAACAGGAGTGTTTAAGTGGTCAGGAATACATTATTATGTCAACATCTTTATAAAGGTCAATGTGAAAAAATGTAGACTTTGAAGGTAGGTCTGTGAAAGTGCTTTTTGGCACCTGGCTTGTCGTATTGTATAGTTGCTTAGTAACTGCTGAATCACAATCTAGACTGTGTGGAAGAGGCCTCAGCATATCCTTGAAGTTAGTGTCTTCACATATACATTTATCCAGCTGGGGCAGAATTCACTGGTTTTGAATGCCAGACTTTTACAGAAATAGCTTTGTTTTAGTTTGCAGGTTCTGACTTTTAAACAGGTTCAAAAATTCACATGATCAGCTAAGATCTTATTGTAAGAGGCAAGGAAAAAAAAAACAGCACTGCTGTGAGTACTTTTTAGAAAAAGTATACAAACACTGGAAGCCTCAGTCAGAAGGAATTATTCTTCCTCTCTTCTCTGACTCTTGTCCTGCTAGAAAATGCTACTTTAATATAAGATATATTAGATTGCTTTCATGGGAGCATTTTTCCTCTGTACTGCTAATACCCGACAGTCTGAAAGGAGAGTGTGGGAGATTGATTATAAATCAGCCTAAACCCAGAAAATAGCCACCTCTATTTTCTGTAGCCTTTTTTCCTGCAACCCTGACAACCAATAGTGGTTTCTGCAAGATACATGCTACAGGAGCTGCTTTAAACACTTAGAATTTAGCTCTGTGTTCTTTGTGGGTGAGACGGTGCACCTCACCCATCCCCTCCTCTGTCTTCCCACTCATTGTTTGTGAACATCTAGCTAGCAAGTTGAGAACTCAGTTTTGAATTCAGGTCTATCTGGTTGCCATATCTCATGCTCTTTCCACTCCAGTTCACTGCCTATACAGGCTCCTGCTCTAATGAAAGACAGTTGAGCTGCCATTTGACTTATAGTCATCATTGTATAATTTCTCTTTTCAAGGAAGTTTAATAAAAGGAAGGAACTGTTAATACCAAGAACATTTACATTAACACAAAATAGACTAATTTAATGTCTACTACTCCAATTTTGAAGGAACCTTTCTTTCCTAGTTGGAGTCATTTAAATGCTTTATACCAATAAAGCAGGGCTTTCTTCATTTCCCCTTTTTTCACCCTAAATTATTGACAGACTTTGGGATACAAGTCAATGGTAGTATAGTCATTAAGTTTCAGATAAAATATACCATATTAAACTGATTCTAATGAATGATTTTGTGGATTCCAAATGGTCTAGAGCTGGATTTAACAATGACATTTATTTAATTCTATTTATTAGTTAATTAACTTTAAAATTAGATAAAAAATTTCTCTATTGACCCCTACTTCCAATACCAGTTTTGGAGTATAGAACCAAAATATAATTCAGCTAATTGGGCACATTCTTGGGGCAAATGTCATGAGCTTCCTTTTTATTTGGGGGATGGAGAATTCCTTTTCTTTTTCATAATGTAATATTTGACACATAAAAAAGGGTATTTGAACATGTATCTAACTTATGAAGCACGAGAATAAAATAAACACCTACAAGTCTACTTAAGAGTTTACTCTTGAAAAAGAAAATTTAAGTACTATTGAGGCTTCCTGTGGGCTTTCCACATCACATTTCCAACACTCCCTTCCAGAAATAAGCACTCTAGAATTGTATTTATTCTTCTTTAACTTTTATTAGCTTTATCTTTTTGCCTTTGGCAAAAGGTTGTTTTTCTTATTTGTTACTGTTTCACCTTAACCTTACCTAGAGTGAATAACTGACCTCAAGCTAAAATTTAACATATTAAACTGCAAGTTAATATAAGTAGTGTCTAAGTAGAGTCTGGGGGATAATTGATCTAAATGCATATGTAACCAAACTCTGTTGTAAGATTTGGACCCAGGCAATACAGAACTATTTACAAAATCTTACAAACTCAGCTCTTTCATTTTACTATAGAATCCATATGGTAGATACTTTCTCCATATTTCTTGGTCTTTTCCAACATTATGTTGTGTTTTATTCCCCAGACATTTATCAAATGGAAAAAAAAATCACTTATGAATATAACAGTTGTATGTTATGTTCTTTGACTTTACTAGTTATATTATTCACATATTTATAAAATCCAAATCAGTTTCCAAATTTTACATATTTTAGAATGAAATCACTTTTTGGTTTAATTTTTAAATAATACTTATAAATCAGAAAGGTCATAGGGTCATCATATATTTAGATTATGTTTTACACAGTATTTGAGATAACATGTTCCCATAAAATTCTTTGATATTTTATATTTGCTTTCCTATGTATTTCAATATTCAGTGTAATAAATAATACTAGATGTCTTTTTAAAAAACAAAAATAACTATTGTTATTTATCAATAAAGTAACCATAAATCAGTATTATATATAATACAGTTCAGATCAAAGATAAGTTTCCAAGAGATTTATCTTAAAGGTAGATAAGACTTTGAAAAAAGATACTTCCATGAATTTTTGGAATTTACCTGAATGCCATAAGAGTGAAAATACAGCTTTTTAACCATTTATGTTTCACTAGTTATAGAAATAATATGTTCTATCTTTGTACAAATGATAAATTGAGAAGTGTCTTGGGAATTGAAAATATAGAGTGCATTCTTCTTTTCCGGTTTGAATTAACGGAAAGAAGACTGAGAAACTTTCCTAAAAAATACGTTAAACGTTGTGCTTGATGTGTTACTCAGGCTAGTTATTGGCAGAGCCATGACTGAGCAAAGGCTGAAAAAAATGGTATTTTTTGTAGATCGTGGCTAAAGCTATATGTGCAACCAACCAGGCTGAGTCACAGGAAGGACAGCAGATCCAGGAAGGATGAAGTTTGATCATAACATCAGATATGAGTAGGATCAATATAATCAAGATCCTTGACTTAATTTTTAAAAATCGTTACTGTGGAATAAATCTTAATGGTTTAAAATCTTTAACAGTATGAAAGACAAAAATGCTCAGAACTGAACTGAATTGGTCTTGTATTCTGAAATGTCCTAGGTTATCTGGCCTACTTAATCACAGAGTCAAAGCTGTATCTTTCAAGCTTTTAAAATAGGTCTCTTTTTCTGGTGTACCAGTGTGTATCTTCAAATATTACAGATTTTCTTTCTTTAAGATATTCTTCACTAAAACTTTCTTTCCTTTAATTGCAACAAATTGTAATATTTTTTAAAAAACATCCTCAGTATGTTTTTAAAACATTATAAATGTCCCTATTTTTGTCAGGATGGACGTTTGAAGCCAGGGGATCAGCTGGTCTCGATAAACAAGGAATCTATGATTGGTGTATCATTTGAAGAAGCAAAACGCATAGTTACCAGAGCCAAGCTGAGGTAACTATCCTGCTCACAGGGTAGAATGAATCATTTACTGTCTTCTTAAAAATAATAATGTAAGATGTCTTAAGTACTTTAGACCCTAAAAGAAGAATCTTTTGATAATATTTGAAACATTATCTTAAAATTCAATTGTACTATATCCATAATATATCCATTAAGTAATTTCTTTGTAATGCTAGGTTAGAATCTGCTTGGGAGATAGCATTCATAAGACAAAAATCTGATAGCAATCATCCAGAAAATCCACCATGTCCATCCTTTTTACAAGCTTCGGGAGAATGTGGACCTCAAACCTCAACATTTAGTTTTCTTTCTTCTCCCTCGGAAGTACTAATTCCAAGGACCTCATCCACTCCCAGAACTACAGAAACTGTTTTACCTTCTGTTAAGATAAATCAGGTAATCTTAAATTTCTGTTTATTTGTACAATCCATAAACCCCCTATATGTTTTTATGTTTGTTAGAAATACACACACACACATACACATAAGATCACAATTTTGGTAATACAGTTTGTTAACAAATTGGCACTTCCTTGAAAGGTCTTTTCTTTTCTTCTTTGTAAGATTTTTATATTGTATTTTCAATAATTATAACTTCAAGCCAGTGTGTCCTTTGGGAAATCATGATTGGAATGGCATCACAAAGATATGACTTGATTTTTCTCAGAACTATGTTAGGAATGTCATATATTTTCAGACAATCTGAAATGGTTTAATTCATCATCATTTCTGTTTTCTGCTTGACTAAAGATGGGCAAATTTCCTTTTTGTTTTTTAGCTTCTTTCCTACACAGTGAGGCTAATCCTAATCATCCAGGGTAGGTGGACAGTGTTCCCTCACTAGACTATAGTTCACCCTAGTAGAAACACAGAAAGGGTGTTTGTATACCAAAACTGATACAATAAATTGCACTAATTGCAACATTGCCCTAACAAATCAAAGTTACAAAATAGAGCAATACTCTTTAAATCTATGTTACTGTAAAACAAAATAGGAAACTCAGGGAGGCTTTCAGTCTGTTGCATAAAATTCATCAAAGGTAACTTCAGTTTCAGATCCCTGCTAATCAGATACAGAGTATAAGATTTCTGTCAACCTCTTATACTTTTTCATTTAAAGTTATGATTCTTTTTCAAAATAAGGTGCATGGCCTTATATTTTCTTGTCCTGGGACATAGCAGAGCTGAAATTTTAATTCTGAATTGCTTTGTTTGAAGATGAATATAGCAAAATTTTAAGGTTTTGTATTTTGGGGACTATAGTCTCTTTAAGCATTCTTTCTGTGTTAACATGAGCTTCTAGTCTGGTCTTTGACCTACCTTAGAAAATGACATTTCAAGTTCCTTGTTTTCTTTCATAGATAAAAACTGGATACAAGAAAACAGAGCAGACTCCAGTTGCTTCTTTGGACAACAGCGCTACAGATATGTCTAATGCAGGTAAATGCACATTTATTTCCCTCTTTCCTGTTACTTTTTTTCAATTTCTCTTTGTCACTGAGGAGTACATAATGTGACTAAATAGACTTTAAAGAAGGGTGCGTTATGCCTTTTTTTCCTTCAGTGAATAAAAGAAACAAAATGAAAGTATTGTACAGTGGTCACTGTTAGATTATGACTTAACTGGAAATTTTCTTGAACAAAGGATTGAATTTTAAAAGATGCATTATTATAACAGTGTCTATGAAGCTGTAATAATCAAAAAACTGTTGAAACCAAATAATGGAAACTCTTCTATAAATGAAGATTAGATTGCCTTGTCCTTTTAGTGAAATACTGGTGAGGTATAGTAAATTCATCTTTTGGAAAAACTATAGAAGGGAGCTTAGCTTAAGAAAATAAATATTTTTGTTTTTTAAGAAGAGATTATATAGTTAGAACACCAGAATTATGAATTTAGTATTATTGATTCTTAATTACCATGAAATGATTAATTGACTTTTTAAAACAATAGAGGATTAATTTTGTAAGCCACCCATAAAAAGGGATTTTTACGAAGCTTGTCAAGTGTCTTTTGACTCAAATATTGAGCAAATCCCTCCTATTTATTCTTTCCAAAAGTTAGAGACAGCAATCAAAAAATTGTACTTAAAGAAAATTTAATTGTATATTCTAAATTATAGTGCAATTTGTTACATGTATATTTTAATTTTTAATAGCATTATCTAGATCTGAATTACAAAATAAGGCAGAGTTAGTATACTTAGTTTCTTCGTCCTTTCGGACTACTGTAACAAAACAGTACAGCCTGAGTAGCTTGTAAACATTTCCCACAGTTCTGGAGGCTGGAAGTCCAGGACTGAGAGCCTTCTTCTGGTTGCAGACTTCTCATTATGTCCTCTCATGGTGGAAGGGGCTAGGGAGGACTGTGGGGACTCTGAGAAGGACACTGACCCACTGATGAGCGCTCCACCCTCATGACCTGAGCACCTCCTCAGGGCCCCACCACCTGCAACACCATCATCATTTGGGTTAGGATTTCAACATATGAATTTTGGGGAGGATACAAACATTCAGCATAACTACCATACTTAACAAGTATTTCCCTGTGGGTTATAAGCAATCTTCAGCCATAAATTATATGCCTTTTTACTTAGTGGGATTTGTTGACTCAGAAACTTTTTAGTTATTATTCCCTTTACATAATTAATTTCCATTCTTGATATATTGTTTTTATTTTAAACTGGGAACCCATGTGAGGAAAAAAAAATAAGTGAAAGAAGCAAACAATACTGAGGAGACATTTACATAACATCTTTTTATTTTTTAAAGTAATTGAACTAAATGCCTCTTTTAGCCTTTTACTTATTCAGTAACCATTCGCCAATATGTCATGTGTGCAGAAAACATAGTTTAGTAAGAATTATGGAGGAATTAGGTATTTTTGATGAGATAACTTGATATGTTATAAAATCAAATATGGAAACAAAGAATCTTCATTATTCAGGTTAGCAACCATATATATGTTTGGTCTGTGTGTCTCTGCTTCCTTTATTGAATGACTTCTGCCTGCAGTGTTCTGCGATAACTAGAGCAGGGGTATAGGTGGTTTCAGTAGTCTAATGAGCATACCATCTTGTGGATGAATAACACATTTGCTCAAATAGTGGAAAGACATGAGCAAAGTAGTCTAAGGAAAGAAATATGGGTTACCCTTAAACACCATGGTGTTAGAGGTGCCAGTGGTTGGAAACCTGCATGTAACTTGACTCCCTAAAAACCTAACTACTTAATACAGCCAACTGCTAACCAGAAGCCTTATCACTAACATAAACAGTCAATTAATACATATTTTGTATATTATTCATATGATATAATGTATTATTTCAATAAAGTAAACTAGAGAAAAGAAAACATTATTTCAGAATTGTCACAAATCTCCAAAAAATTTTGCAGTATACTTATTGAAAAAACCCCACATATAAGTGGACTGTGTGGTTCAAATCCATGTTATTCAGTGGTCAACTGATGTAAGTGGCCTGAAGGTGGTGTAGGGAAGGCACAGTAGTTAATCAGCAGACTCTGAATGCAAACTTAAAAATTCAAATTTTTGCGCCCAACTTATTAGCAATATAACCTTGAAATAGTTGCCTCATGGAGTTATAATGAGTATTAAGTAAGATCATGCATGTCAGCACTTCACATTGTAATTGGTATGTAGTATGTTTTGCTCAGTAAATTTTGCTGTTACTGTTATTAATATTACAGAAACTGCAGACTACAGTATAGCTCAGATAATATTCCAGGGCATGTTTTTAGAGCAAAAGTGGAAACTTTTATCTTTGAATTCAATTTTGCATCCTCTTTCCACCCCAAAAACTAGTGCAAAATTCAGACATTGTCCAGACCTTAAAGGAAGTGCTAAGCATCAACTGATGGATGAAGGTAGGAGATCATCATCATAAGGAAGGGAAGCACCATGAGCAAAAGCACAGAACTAAGGATAAGCTTCATGTCAGGCGACCCCAGGAGGCAGGTCTGATTAAAGCCAAGGGATCTTGAAGTAATGAGTAAACTGAGGTTAAAATCTACATCAGTGTCCTTAAGAAGCAATGCTAGATTTTGAAATGGAAAAATAATTTAATGAAAAATACATATGAGTGAGTAGGCTATCTGTAAAGTAAATATTAAAATGCTATTATAATGGAACATTTTTCTAGGGTAGAAGTCACACTGACTTAGTCCCATTTTCTTCCACATAAATGTAGCATGCCAATTGTTTCTGGGGGTAAGAAAGCAAAATCAATGCTAAATTATCTCTAGGAAACTCATATTGTAATTTGTCTAAATACTTAATTACAGGCTGTTCCAAAATTAGATCCTTAACCATCACATGTGGACTCTTTCAGCTAGTTATTTATTCAAAAACATAAATGAGTTTTAATATTAACCTCAACAAAAATAAGCTTAATGAGACAGATCTGCCCCAGTTTCTATCTCAAAATCATTCCAAAGTGTAAAACTGGTTAGAGTTTTTAAATCTACATAATACTTGAATTTGTTCTTTAAAACTATTTTTTACATAAATATCTTATTTTGGAATCCATAGTTGTTTACTTATTGCCATAAGCTGAATAATACATGAGCCTGTGAGCTAAAAGCATAGTAAAGACATTCCTAAGGAAATCAGTTAAGAATTATTGCATGAATAAATACTACTATTTAACTTCACTATAGCACAAGACTTAATTCTACTGCACTAAGGCTTTCGTAACTGAAACAAAGTAGTGATGGGGAAAGATGTCCATGGAGGGTTCATGGTGTTAACCAAATGATCCTTTCCTTTATAAAACATTCCCTTTCATCTCCCAAGAAGAGTAAAGGAAGATCCAAGAGAACAATAAGCTATACTTTGAAAAGTCTCAGTTCCCCAGGAAGGAGCAGATAAAAAAACATGAGGCTGGAATTGAGGGATGTAGCTAACAAATGAGGAAAGCTCTCTTTGAGTGGCTTTTCGGGCCAAGCTACTCTAATACACCAAAGCATACTGGATTTATGCACAGGTCCTCCTAAGATTTTGACTCAGAGCAAAAGGTGTAGGGGAAGGTTGACTGGAAGAATGTGAGATCTTGTTAAGCGTATTGTTAAATGGGGGATCAGTATAATTTTACATTGTCTCCTGTTTAAATACAGTGTCTCTATGTTTTAATATTAATAGTACTTTATAGTTTCCTAGTAGTTGTCCATGATTTTCTTTTTTTACCTTTACAATTCCTGTAAGGTGGTCTGTTTTTTTCTTCCTACTTTGCAAAGGAAAAAATTGATGATGAAAGATATTAACACATTTAAGAACATTGGCTTCAGGAGTCACAAGATATTAGAATCCTGACATGGTCACCTACTGTCTGTGTGATCTGGGGCTAATTTCTTTATCTTCATGTGCCTTGGTTTCTTCATCTTTGGAATGCAGATAATAACACTTATGTCAGTGTGGTTATTGTAAAAATTAATGAGCTTTTATATGCAAAGTCTTAGTGTACTGCTTGGCTAAAAGTAGGCATAAGAGCTGATCTGTTATTTCCACTGTTACACAGAGCAACTTTTTATGCTTAGATGTAGAAAAACATAAGTGAGAATGTTACTGGTTGAGTTTGTTTTCCTTGGTTCTTGTTCCTGCTGCAGCAAAGAATTAAAAGGTAGAGACCCAATAGTGAAGCAGAGTGAAAGTTTTATTTGAATATGCTCTAGGGGAGGAGCAGGCCAGAGTTAAGGTAGACAAAGGTCCCTGAACTTTAAGGTGGGAGGCCTTTATGTTACTTCCTGGCAGGGAGGCACCTCTGACTGGCAAGGTGGGGTTACTTGATTTACAGCTCCTTCTGTATAGTCATCCCTCTCAGGGAGCATGTCCTTTCCCCATGCTAAGGTGTGATTTGGGCAGTTTTTAGTCCTGTCCTTTGCGATCTGGTTGCGGAGGAAGTTATCTCCCTGCAAAACCATTGTTGTCTTCACATGGGACCCCCTACCTGGCCAGAGTTTGGGTGGCTTTTTCTTTGAATGTTACCAGTAGGGGGCTTTCTCTGAACCTCATCTTCCAATTTCCAGCTGCTCGTGTCTATCTTTCTACCTCATGTGCCCTTTTGTTGGTGGTGTGTTTTCCTGTCCCTCCCTGTCTCTTTCTGCTCTCTTTTGCTCTCATCCCGTCTCCAGCCCTTCCATATACTTACACTTGAATTGAGTAATTCACCCTCAGAGTTAGTCCTAATCTGAGACCATAATTAGGTTAGCCTGGGTGCACCTGTGTTAGTGTACTTTAATGGTATGTCAGGCACCATGCTGAAACATTGCCAAGCCTCACAAGTCCAGACCTTAAAAATGAAAAATAAAGTTTGACTTTTCTGCTGTTTGGTCTCCCATATCACTCTACTTAACACCGATCTTTCATGCTACACTTTAGGTTTGGCACAGAATTTCTCTAACAGAAAAAAAAATGTATCTTGTATATATTATTTTTTCCCATAGCCAATGATGAGGTATCAAAATAACAAGAAACTTTGTTGCTCTTACTAGAATTGTAAAAATTCTATTATACTAAAATCAGTCTTTCTCAAGGTTTGATTCCATTTGAAGCTAAAAGTCAGTACCATTTTTTTTATCATCTTGACACCTATAAGCTATATTCAAGATTTTACATAGAATGTTAAGGATGTGTTAAAGGTTTAGAGGAACACTATTTATTTTCATATGCGCTTCTTATGTTCTTAAGAAAGAGAATGCAAATCATTTTGTACTTAGAGACAGATGCTCTGAGAAAAAAGAAAAAAATTAAAACACTGCATAAAGATGTGACATTTTAAAAAGATTTTTATCTTCCTCTTGTTTCTATGTAGAACTAGTAAAATATCATTTAAAAGTGTATTTAGAATGGTGACAGTTTAGATATAAGGATTGACATGAATTATAGGAATTTGTTTTACAAACTTCAGCATATTAAAACAAGTAATTTTTTCAAGCTCTAGCCCATTGTGAGCACCTGGTTTCTTACTCATGCAACAAGGACAAAAGCTTATCTAAATAACGATGGTAAAATTGAGGTGGTGTTAGAGAATGGGTGACAAGTGTGTGAGACACAACTCTTGAAAGTCCCTTGATGCTACTTGAAATATAGCCCTTATGTAAAGTAAGATACAGGATTTTTAGTTCAAGAAGTTCTGAAGCTATATTATACTTCATGTGCAAACTTGAAACAGTTTGCATTTGTTACTTTTTCCATAGTATCTCCAGAACTCACATAACAAAACCACTTTTGCCAGTCAAAGAAAGACTATGATCTTTTTGAATTTCTCATATGATCTTACTTACTTTGGAAGAAAGCCAAGACTTTTCCTTTTACAATTAGTCAGGCATTGTGATGACAGGGTAGTGGTAGGATGTATGTGTGTCTTTTAAATTAATATTTCCGTGGGACTTAATGCATACTTGGCCACTCTTTTTATGTCACATTTTAGGGCTGAAGTGAAGAGGACCTATGTAATACATTTTAGATTTAAAGAAAAATCATGAAAACAGAAGTGAGAACTGCCAACTAGTTAGCCAGAATTATTTTTGAACAGCAGGAGCCCAGAACACATCTTGTCAAATGAAAAGTTCTATTCCAATTAAGTTTGCAATTAATGTGTACTCTGTTGTCTCTTAGATATTACCCCTGCCTGGACTGGTAATTATGGAATACGAGGAAAGAAGATTTCCCTAAATTCTTCTGTTCGCCTTAAGGCAGAGAAACTGGAATTGGTAACTATCTAAAATTTCCATTTCGCTTCCATAAAATAACAAGGAAATATTTTTATTCTTTTAAGGGATAGAGAACTGGAGCCATTACTTACTTATTTGCAATTAAATGAATGACAGGTTTAAATTATTTAATCTGTGTTTGAGTTGGACAGTTCATGGTGGTTCAGTAGTACAAAAGATAACTAAAACCTTTTGTAACTAAATTGACATCAAATTAATCAGTTTCCTCCCATATGGGAATAAGACAAATATGATGTTTTACCTGTAGAATCCAAGTAAACATGGAATAAATTATTATAAATTATTACATCTCATTAAATCCACTTTCTGTGTAGATTCAGTTCTTTGCTTTTATTCAAAATATATTTAGTGACAGTACAACATTCTTTGTTTTCAGTTTGAAACTGTATTTCACTTAATAAATATTTTTTTCTAAATCCAAATGAGTTTCTATTTACCCAAATATTTCCTAAGCTACTCTGATTTTTTTGGATAGTTACATTTTAATATAAAATATCTATATCAATTCATTTTGAAATAGGTCCTTCTACTTTAGTTGGTACTTTTGTAGACAGATACGATTTTATTATCCATTACATATTGAAGATATTCATTATTCAGTAATAGATAAGAACAATGTCTTAAGTATTTAAAATGCAGTTTTTTTCTTTATATTCTATAAATATGTTACATATAACATCTAGAAAATTAGTGTTATAATAAAATTTCACAAGGAAGAGGTGCTGATCAACTATGTGGTTATTAAGTAATTAGCCTACTCAGAACAAATTTTAAGAAAGAGAAAGAGGTTAGAATTTGATGAAGGAATTACCTGTCAAGACATATGTATGTATGACATTATCTTCATGAAATTCCCTTTTTACCAGTCTAAAATTTTTTATCAGGATATACTGTAAAGTGATTTGTAACACTGAACTAGATATGTATTAATTCCTTGTCTGAGAAATGGATTGCCTCTTTTCATGAATACTCTGAGAATGATTTAATAATACATATTTTAAATAATTTCACCATTGTTATTTTTAATGATAATATTTTTTAAAGTGTTTTATGAATACTGTGGATCTCATTTGATCCTAACATTAAACTTAGAAGTAGGCATGGTAAACATAGCATATAAGAATACAACTTATTAATTGGCTTACAGATGAATTATTACACTTCAACACTACTTATATTTTTGTACCTGATAAAGATGCTTTGGGATACAGATGCCATTTCACTGATATTTACTTTACCTCTTGCCATTTCTGTAACATTTGAAGAAAGTTGTAGTAAGCAATGGCATACCCAATGTCTGATTATAGTTAATGAGGTGTTTTTTGTGTTAGGTTAGGAAGCATATGACTAATATTACAAAGAAGTGACATTTTTTAAATTCATCCTTCAGACATCAGACATTAACAAATTTGCATTTTTGTTTAAAGTTAAAAGATGGCACTAGTTATTCAAGAAATTTTTGGACCATACTTTTTGATCAAAAATAAATTATTTCCAATTTAAATTTATAAACTTACTGACATGCTGTATTCATCTTGGGTAAATTTTACTCTCAACAAAACTTTCACTTATTACTAATTTTAGCTCTAGATCAATTTGCATTGTAGTTAATTACATTTTGCAATTATTACTTAATATAATAAGAGTCACCATATATTGAGTACTGTGATAGGAGTTCTATTTTCATTACTTTTGCAAATTTTTTTTACTTCTTTATATAAAAATATCAGCCATATATAGAATGATTATATTGCATATGTACAGTTTAAAGTATAATAAAACACACATGTACCTACCACCCAGCTGGGAAAGAAAACCTTCAGTATTGCATGTATATTTCTTCTTGATCATATATTCCTCTCCCTCTCTCTCTCCCCAAGGGGTAACTCTATTCTGAATTTTAACTTTATCATTTATATGCTTTCTAAATTTTAATTTATTAAGATATCATGTGGCCAATGAGTTTGTGTATTACCTTTCAACTTTTCTTGGGTATTGTCCACTGGGGTATTTGTAAAATTCTCACTTCCTCTAGAAAAATCCAGCTCCTAGAAAAATTCTTGGCTCATAGCATAAGCTCAGGAAATAATTGTTGGATTGGTGATTTGTTTTCTAAAGAGTTTTACCAATTATCATTCCCACTAATCTTTTATAAGAGTTCCCATTGCTCCACAGACTTTACACTATCTTATTATAATGTATATTTATTTCTACCATCTTATTTAAAAATTTTTTTCTTTGTTCTTTTTAACACTTCTTTTTTATTGTATTCTTTGGTTTGATTATGTTTCATTATTTGGTTGGCTGTTTTTGCATTTCATATTTTCCCCAGTGGATTTAGAAGTTATGTCTCTCTTGCTTTTTTTCAGTCATCACCTTAAAATTTGAACATGCATGTTTAGCTTAATTAGTCTAAAGTTAGTCAGAACCTTTACCCTTCTTAAAGATAAACAAAATATAGTATATACATACAATGGACTATTATTGGGCTGTAAAAGGAATAAAGTTCTAATACGTGCTCCAACATAGATAATAAAGCTTGTAATTTAAAGCTCAATGAAAGAAGCCAGACACAGTTGCAAATGGTATGATTGTTTATGTGAAATGCCACAATAGGCAAAACCATAGAAACAGAAAATATGATATTAGTGGTTGCCTGGGACCAGGAGATAGGGAAGTAGCAAGTGACTGCTAAGGGTGTGGGGGTTTCTTTTTGGAGTGATGAAAATTTTCTAGAATTTGCAGTGACTGATGTACACATTTGTGAAGCAATTTGACTGTACACTAAATGGTGAACTTTCTGTGAATTATATCTCAAGAAATCTGTTATTAATAAAATGAAAAAACATTGATTTTTTTGGTAAATGGTGTATTATGGTACCATTTATACAAAAATTAAAACAAAAATATTTTAAAAATATTATATGTATTTATGAAAATATGAAGTTATGATATAAAAACATGTCTGGGAACTCTCTATAAGCAACTTCATAAAAAGAATATTTAAAATATAAAATTTTGCCAAAAACCAAGAGAAAATGTTTGCAATACATATTACATATAAAATGCTAGCATCCAAAATATGTAAAGAAGTTATATACACTAAAGAAATTTTTACCCGTGTTTATACAGTATAAGAATGTTTATTGCTGCATTGCTAGTAGGCAGAAAACCCCAATGTCCATCTACAGGAAGGTGGATGAATAAATTGTGGCATAGTCATCTAATCAAATATTTATGTGTTACTGTTGCAATAGCCTATGATAGCATGTGTCAATGATAAAACCGATCCTGTAGAGTAAAAATAGCAGGTTTCAGAAGACTAAATACCACATTTTTATGAAGCTAAAAAGAAGCAAAACAAAATAAGTTGCTAGAGATACATAAATATATGTGAATAACCATTTTAAAATTAATAGTATGGGGATAACAGTTTATTAGTAGTGGTTACCTGTAGTAGAGTAGGACATTAATTCAACAGTATTGGCAGTTTTATAATTCTTAAGTGGATTCATAGATGCTTTATGTTACTGTCTTGTCTATATATATATATATATGTACACATACGTTCCTACATACCACACATATATGTTCATATATGTTGTTATATATCAAATATAATAAAATATTTGGGACTCTGGGGAGAAGTTCAAAAGGTCTTTTGTAATGTTTTGTTACATTCAAAACCTGTAGTAATATGCTTAAATGCTACGCTTTAATGTACAGTTTAATAATGCATATAACGTAAAATGTTCAGAACAGAAAGCTGTGATATATTGGTAATTTTTTAAAAACATAGAACTCTATAGTGATTTACTTTTTGCAAAATTGCATACCTTTTGCATATATATATATATACATTTATGTATATATGTGTATATATATATTTAACATATAGGAGCTATATTCTTAGGAAAAAACCTAAAACATTAATACACTAAACTGTTAAGAGTGTCTGTCTCTAGAGCAGTGGTTCTCAAGGATGGCAGTGTGGGGAGTTTTGCCTCAGAGGGCGTTTGGCAATGTCTTAGAGACATTTTTAGTTTTCACAGTTGGGAGAATGCCACCAAGTTAGGAATCACTAACAAAAAATATTTCCTAACTCTGTGTATGAAAATTTAAGACATATTGATAAATAATTTATGAGTCGAAAACATTGCTAATAAAGAAGCTTAATTTCACTTGTAATTAGGGGAATCCAAATTAACAAATGACATCCTATTTCCTATCCAGCATATTGACAAATATTAAAGTGTGAAAACAGCAAATGCTGTTAAGAATATAGAAAAACAGAAGTGCTTATATACTAGTGGTGTGCATAAATTAGTATCACCAGTTTTAATTTTATAATATCTAATAAAGTTGACATTATATATACCCTATGACTCAGCATTTCCTCTTCTAGGGATATACTATAGAGAAATTTTTACACGTCTACACAAGGAGACCATATAATGTTTTGTAATAAAAACAGATTTGAGCAATTATAAAAGCCCATCAGGAAATTATAATAAGTTATATTCATACAGTGGGATACCATATAAAATTAAAATAAGTTAACTAGTTTTGCAGGTAACAATATTGAGCAAGTGTAAAATCATAACATTGAAGTAAAAATAAAAACAATGTGTAGTTATCCATTTGTATTATATTTTTCATGTAAAATTTTTAAATGCACTCAAGTACATATTATTAGGGCTTATATGTAGCAATGCATTAAATTATGGACAAGAAGGATGTACCAACCTTAAGATAGTGGTTACTGATAAGAAACAGTAGAGGACGGTCTCAACCAGGTCTATAATGTTTATTCTTAAATCTACATATAAATTTCAAGCAAATAATCAGTAAGTATGAATAATTGGGTGTTCTTTGTATTATTCCCTTTCCTTTTCTCTTTTACATTTGGAACACATGACTGAAGGACAAGAACACCAAAAGATAAGAATTACTATTCCATGTTATGCAAAGCAAATATTTATGACTGCGTGGACAGGGTCGGCAAATAATGCTAGGTTAAGCACTGGAATCATTTTTGAAGGCGTCTTTCCTGATGTCCCCTCTTCCTCCTGTCTCCTCTCACTGTGCCCAGCCACCTTATACATTAACCAGTTTGTTTTTGCCATATACATCCTGTTTACACTTCTGTTAATTACATATCACTCTAGTTACATTTATTTACCTGGTACTCTTCACCTACAGCCCATAGCTATATCTTGTTTGCTGTGTCTTTTTGCATAGTTTGCATTTGACAAATAGTAAGCACTAAAGAAATAACTTGTTGAATGAAATGATGAATCCCTGAACAGAAGAAAAATTATCCTTTCCTTTTTTTTCCTGTACTTTTCTCTTCTCTTTCCTTTTCCTTTCTTGTTCTGTCTTTCTTTTCTTTTATTCTTTCTCCCAAAGAAAGAAGGAAAAGGGACAAGAACTAACTACCCCTACTCTTGAAAAACTTTCTGCAAGTACCCTACAGTACTTTACCTCTGTATCTCCTTGGCCAATTTGTAGTCACATGGCCTCATCAAGCTGCAAAAGGGACTGGGAGATATCTTCTAACTGGATGACAATGTTTCTAGCTAAAAATTCTAAAAATTATGGTTCTGATATAAAAAAACAAAAGAATCTATTAGATTACAACTGGAATACAACTAGCAGACTCTCAATTTTTAATCGGCAATGGGTACTAAAAGAAGAAGGTAGAGAGAAGTGGGTTATAGAGAAAGCTTTTAACTTTACTATTTGTGTAAGCCTGCCCATAAACAAGCCAAAAATGGGAAAGTTTTGTATTTAACCCAATTCCTATTAACTTTAGTTTTGGTCTCAAATACAAGATAACAAAGTATCTATGTTTTATGTTGCACTTACAGAAATTAATGTTAAATCTGATTTAATAGAATTTCCTTGTTATTTTTCTCCTGCCGTATCACATATCTTAAACTAAGAAATCATTTGAGTCTTAATTTTAGCGCTATGCTTATGAATTTGGCATCAGCCAAGGAGCTAGCCTTGCTTAAAAAAAAAAAAAAAAAGTCTGACATGGTGATGGAATCAGAAAGCTGTTATTTCATAGAAAATTAATCCCTAAATAGCAGACTTTCTGTAGGTATCTAATTCTGGTCAGTGCTCCCGATATTCATTATTTTCACTATATAGTAACATAAAGTTGTAATGAAAAGTTTTATTCTTTGCAGATTTGAAGAATTGCTTCATATGAGTCCTTTCTCTTCCAGGCCTTAAATTATCTTGGTATTCAGCCCACGAAGGAACAGTACCAAACCCTGAGACAGCAAGTGCAAGCAGACGCAAAGGGGACAGTGTCTTTTGGAGGTATGAAAGGTTTATCAGGTGGTATCATCACAGAAATGTGGTCGAAGTTTATGAGACCTGCTTTCACTAAAAATGCCTCTTCTTTAGAAGGAGAGAGAGAAAAATAAAACCACGTTTATTTCAAGTTCCTTAGTCAGTAGCCTAAAAACTCCACTTGAATTATTGGCCTGACTTGGTCAGCAGAAAGAACTTTCTTAGAATCTTTCAGCTCTGAAATATTATTCTATCATATTCTTTTTTAAAGTTTTTTGGCACAGGCATTGTTTCAGTAATAACAAAAGAAACAGTACAAAATATAGAAGTCCTAATTACACTGTGAAATTCTAATTTTTCTTTAGGTAATAAAGATACAATAAGTATTTTTATGATGCTCTATAATTACTATTAAATGTTGCATAATGCTGACATACTTAGTTGATGTACTACAGTATTAAACCTTTCCACTATTAGGAATTTTGTGGCTTCTCAGTAACTGATATTATGAATAAATCTATATATAACATCATAGCTTTTTTTCTTATTTTTCTTAGGGTAAGTCCCCACAAGAGGTTTGAACATTTGATACGTATTAATAAATTGTTTTCTAGGGACATTTTATGTATGTATCTGTCCTACCACTAGTAATGTTTGAATATAACATTTTTTGGTATCCTTGGCAGCATTAAGTGTTTAATTTTTAAAAAATTTAAATTTCCAGCATATTAGAATCACAGGTAGAGTATGCTCTATACAGTTGATGCAGTGTTGTATTATTTTAAAAATACATTGCTACAAAAGGAAATTCACTTTTTGGTTTTGAAGTGATGAAAAAAAGACATACTTGCTCCCCTTTCCTCTTGAAAATTACCCCAAAATAATGAGAACTGAAAACAGAATTACATGTATAACTAAAATTCATACCTGAAGAAGTTTATGGTTTGCTGGGACTGCAACAGGTAGTCTTAACAGTTGTTAAGAGAATATGCTTTAGAGTCAGACCTTAATGGAATCCTGCTCTGCTACTCATTTGCTAAGTGGTTTTCACATATTTAAAATGGTTACTGTGTTTGAGCTGCAACCTCTAAAATGGATAGGATAAGAGGACCTATCTCAGAAAATTGTTGTGAGGGTGAAATTGCTAATTACCATGCCTGGCATAAAGAGGCTGTTACATAAACAGTAACTGCTGCTAATTAGTATTATTAAACCTTAGTTTTTCTTAATTTCTTCCAGCTAGAAAAGCTGTAAATCATATAATAATAGTATCATATGTTTCAGACAAAGTTCTTCTCATGATAAAAGAGTTAGAGAAATAGATACGCCTATGGTATTTGTTTGCTTTATCATTACCTTAACTGATTTATTAACTTCAGCAGAATTAACTAAAATAAGTTAGAACCAGTTTATTTCTTAACTTCTTTTTGAACTTATATTTACCTGTCACTTCATAATACCATTTCAAGGTAATTTATTTAAGTAAGTTAAATTTGAATCATTAGTTATAGCATATGGCTTCAACTTCATATAGAAAAAGATAAAGATTTATTTAGATGAGGTTAAATGCTTAAATGTTCTTACTGAAATGTATTCCATTTTAGATTTTGTCCAGGTTGCCAGAAACTTGTTTCGTTTGAAGTTGGATGAAGTAAATGTTGGTGCACGTGAAATTTCCAGCATATTAGAATCACAGGTAGAGTATGCTCTATACAATTGTGCTGGTTGTACCTATATCATAAGTCTTAACATGTTATGTGTCATTCATGTAGACTTTTTTCACTTTTTTAAATAAAGCATGCAAATTACACATGCTTCTTGAATAAATATATAAGTTACAGAGTAATTTAAAATCAAAAGTAAAATTTCATCTTGATCTCTTCTGTTTTCTCCTCTCACTCTCCTCTCATGCTTCTCCCATCCCTAAATCTACCACAGAAAGTTACTCGTAAGTGTATATTATACCCTCTGAAAGTTTACATTCTGAACCATCCTCCTGTAATCATCATCCAGATCAAGAAACACATTAAAGAAATTACCAGGACCCCAGTACTCTTACACCCAGTTACAGGTGCTGTCCCTTACCCCCAACCCTCAATCAAGGTAACTACTCTTCTGCCCTTTAACAGCATAGATTGGATTTACTTGTTTTGTGCTTTATTTTAAAATGAAATTGTGAAGTCTGTTAACTTCCTAAGTCATTTGCTCTACATAACTTTGCCATTTATATTGTCAAATCTTTCAGTCCTTCATTATGGATTTTTGATATATTACTAAGGGAGATCTTTCAGTGTGTATTATATATAGTTTATATATTTAATTCACTCAAAATTTAAAAGTGTCTATGCATTGGTTAGGGCCCCAAGTGGATAACCACTTGTCCTTATTCTATAGTCATTTATTTAATAATCATCCTTCTTCACTTTTACCACTAATTTGAAATGCAGACTACATCATACACTAAATTTCTTTCTAGATACAAAGATCTGTTTCTAGACCTATCACTCTGTTCCATTGAACCATTTCTCTCTGCCAGTATATTATTTTAATTATTCTGGGAGCACTCTAGGTTCTTTTTATTTGATGAACTAAGTCCTTAATTTTTTTTTAACTGGTTTTGATTTTCTGCATAAGGCTGTTACATAAACAGTAACTGCTGCTAATTAGTATTATTAAACCTTAGTTTTTCTTAATTTCTTCCAGCTAGAAAAGCTGTAAATCATATAATAATAGTATCATATGTTTCAGACAAAGTTCTTCTCATGATAAAAGAGTTAGAGAAATAGATACGCCTATGGTATTTGTTTGCTTTATCATTACCTTAACTGATTTATTAACTTCAGCAGAATTAACTAAAATAAGTTAGAACCAGTTTATTTCTTAACTTCTTTTTGAACTTATATTTACCTGTCACTTCATAATACCATTTCAAGGTAATTTATTTAAGTAAGTTAAATTTGAATCATTAGTTATAGCATATGGCTTCAACTTCATATAGAAAAAGATAAAGATTTATTTAGATGAGGTTAAATGCTTAAATGTTCTTACTGAAATGTATTCCATTTTAGATTTTGTCCAGGTTGCCAGAAACTTGTTTCGTTTGAAGTTGGATGAAGTAAATGTTGGTGCACGTGAAATTTCCAGCATATTAGAATCACAGGTAGAGTATGCTCTATACAATTGTGCTGGTTGTACCTATATCATAAGTCTTAACATGTTATGTGTCATTCATGTAGACTTTTTTCACTTTTTTAAATAAAGCATGCAAATTACACATGCTTCTTGAATAAATATATAAGTTACAGAGTAATTTAAAATCAAAAGTAAAATTTCATCTTGATCTCTTCTGTTTTCTCCTCTCACTCTCCTCTCATGCTTCTCCCATCCCTAAATCTACCACAGAAAGTTACTCGTAAGTGTATATTATACCCTCTGAAAGTTTACATTCTGAACCATCCTCCTGTAATCATCATCCAGATCAAGAAACACATTAAAGAAATTACCAGGACCCCAGTACTCTTACACCCAGTTACAGGTGCTGTCCCTTACCCCCAACCCTCAATCAAGGTAACTACTCTTCTGCCCTTTAACAGCATAGATTGGATTTACTTGTTTTGTGCTTTATTTTAAAATGAAATTGTGAAGTCTGTTAACTTCCTAAGTCATTTGCTCTACATAACTTTGCCATTTATATTGTCAAATCTTTCAGTCCTTCATTATGGATTTTTGATATATTACTAAGGGAGATCTTTCAGTGTGTATTATATATAGTTTATATATTTAATTCACTCAAAATTTAAAAGTGTCTATGCATTGGTTAGGGCCCCAAGTGGATAACCACTTGTCCTTATTCTATAGTCATTTATTTAATAATCATCCTTCTTCACTTTTACCACTAATTTGAAATGCAGACTACATCATACACTAAATTTCTTTCTAGATACAAAGATCTGTTTCTAGACCTATCACTCTGTTCCATTGAACCATTTCTCTCTGCCAGTATATTATTTTAATTATTCTGGGAGCACTCTAGGTTCTTTTTATTTGATGAACTAAGTCCTTAATTTTTTTTTAACTGGTTTTGATTTTCTGCATGATTTTTAGATCATTTTGCTATGGAAATAAAAATTCCATTGGGACTTTTTTTTAAAATAGGAATTGCATTGAACTTACAGAATGATTTGGCAGAAAAGAACATGGTTTATTTCTCCATTTAGGTCTTTGTTGATGTTTTGGAAAGAGAAATTATATCTTCTTCATATATGTCTTGATGATTTCTTGTTAGGTCTGAATAGATATGCAAAAGTTTTTGACACTTTTGGAAATGTGATTTTTTTATCATTGTACCTCTTGATTGTTGATTAGTAAAGAGTAATTTTTGAATATTTTGTGTGATGCCATTTTATTGAACTCCCTTTCTCCAGCTGTTTTTCAGCTATTTCTCTTGAATTTTCTAGGTAAGCATTTGAAATTCATTTCATTTTTGTCTCAAAAATTTTTACTTTTTCTGAGTACTGTTCAATAGGATCCACAAATGTGAGCAACAAATAAACTTCCATGATATCTGAGCTACTTTACATTTTTAATTTCTTAAAAGTAGCTAACATTATCTTATTTAATAAATAAATTTTACATCATTTCTATTTTTCTAGAACAGTTTAAATAAAAGAAACTTTATCTGTTTCTTTAAAGTTTAAAAATATGTTATATAACAAGTGATTTGGGCCTAGATCTTTCAGGATAGGAGACATTTCCTACTCTTTAATGTATCTAAAGTTATTTTATCCCAGTTTTTGTCCTTTTCTTAAGTAATTTTGTTGGTGTATGTTCTTATAGAAAATTTTCCCTTCATCGAGGAATTAATACTTAGTAAGATTAACATGGATTTTCTTTCAGGTTTTGAATCATTATTGACTTGTAACTCTTGATATTTGATAAGACACATTCTCCTACCTTGTTCTTCTTTTTAAATATTGCTTTGGCTAATTTTTGCTCTTGCTCATATAAGTTCCAGCAAAAATCTTGCTGTGTTGAATTTATAGATTATATGGGGTAGAATCAACATCTTTATAAATTTAAATCTGTGAACATGTTTGGTTTCTTATATATTTATGTCTTTTTGAATAGCATATGATACATTTGATAATGTTTTTTTCCACAAAGAAGCTTTATTAATTTTTGTTAGACTTATCTCTAATTACCTTATACTTTTTTTTACCATTATAATAAATAGTGTCTTTTTTTTTAAAGACTTTATTTCCCTACAGCCATTTAATGTTCACAGCAAAATTGAAGGGAAGGTACAGATATTTCCCATACGCTCTGCTAGCCCATATACACAGCCTTCTGCATTTTCAACATCTTTTCTCACCAGAGTGGTATATTTATTACAATTGATAAACCTATATTGACACACCATCATCAACTAAAGTCCATGGTTTATGTCATGGTTCATTCTTGGTGTTGTACACTCTATGTAGGTTCACACAAATGTATAATAACATATTGATCATTATGGTATCACATAGAATAGTTTTACTTCCCTAAAAATCCTCTATGATCTGCCTATTAATCTCTCTACTCATTTAAGTTTCCTCCATGTCTTTTAATTCCATGTCTTTTAACTGAAGTTCTAAGACACCCATATTATCAAGTCCCCCACAAATACACACCATTGCAGTCACTGTACATCAGAATAGTAAGATGCTATAGTCACTACTTGTCTTCTCTGTGCTATACTGCCTTCCTGGTGATGCCCCTACATTATGTGTGTTAATCATAATACCCCTTAATTCTCTTCTCCTTCCCCGCTGACTGTACCCACTCCCTTCCCTTTTGGTAACCGCTAATCTCTTCTTGGGTTCTGTGATTCCGCTGCTGTTTTGTTCCTTCAGTTTTGCTTTATTGTTATACTCCACAAATGAGTGAAATCATTTGGGACTTCTCGTTCTCCACCTGGCTTATTTCACTGAGCATAATTCCCTCCAGCTTCATCCATGTTGTTGCAAATGGTAGAATTTGTTTTCTTCTTATGGCTGAATAATATTCCATGTGTGTATACATACCACATCTTCTTTATCCATTCATCTACTGGTGGACACTTAGGTTGCTTTCATATCTTGGCTATTGTACATAGTGCTGCAATAAATGTAGGGGTGCATATGTCTTTTTGAGTCAAGGACTTTGTTTTCTTTGGGTAAATGCCTAGGAGTGGAATTCCTGGGTCAAATGGTATTTCTATTTTTAGTTTCTGGAGGAACCTCCATATTGCCTTCCACAACGATTGAACTAATTTACATCTCACCAACAGTGTAGGAGGGTTCCCCTTTCTCCACATCCTTGCCAGCATTTGTTGTTTCTTTTGGATGTTGGCCGTCCTAACTTGTATGAAGCGATATCTCATTGAGGTTTTAATTTGCATTTCCCTGATGATTAGTGATGTGGAGCATCTTTTCATGTGCCTGTTGGCCATCTGAATTTCTTCTTTGGAGAAGTCTGTTCAGATCCTATGCCTATTTTTGAATTGGGCTATTTGCTTTTTTAGATGTTGAGGCATTGAGTTCTTTATATATTTTGGAAGTTAACCTCTTGTCGGGTATGTCATTTACCAATATATTCTCCCATACAATAGGATGTCTTTTGTTTTGATGATGGTGTCCTTTGCAGTACAGAAGCTTTTTAGTTTGATGTAGTCCCATTTGTTCATTTTTGCTTTTATTTCCCTTGCCCGAGGAGATGTGTTCCAGAAAAAGTTGCCTATGTTTATATTCAAGAGAGTTTGGCTATTTTCTTCTCAGAGTTTTATGATTTCATGACTTACATTCAGGTCTTTGATCCATTTCAAGTTTACTTTTGTATTTGGAGTTAGACAATAATCCAGTTTCATTTCTCTTCCATGTAGCTGTCCAGTTTTGCCAATACCTGTTGTTGAAGAGGCTGTCATTTTTCTATTGTATGTCCATGGCTCCTTTATCATATATTAATTGGCTGTATGTGTGTGGGTTTATATCTGGGCTCTCTATTCTATTCCATTGACCTGTGGGCCTGTTCTTGTGCCAGTACCAAATTGTTTTAATTGCTGTGGCTTTGTAGTAGAGCTTGAAGTTGGGGAGTGAAATCCCCCAGTTTTATTCTTCCCTCTCAGGATTACTTTGGCTATTCTGGGTCTTCTGTGGCTCCATAGGAATTTTAGAACTATTTGTTCTCGTATGTTGAAGAATGCTGTTGGTATTTTGATAGGTTTTGCATTGAATCTGTAGATTGCTTTAGACAGGATGGCCATTTTGACAATATTAATTCTCCCTATCTATGAGCAGGGGATGTATTTCTATTTATTGGTGTCTTCTTTAATTTCTCTCCTGAGTGTCTTATAGTTTTTAGGGTCTTATACCTCCTTGGTTAGGTTTATTCCTAGGTATTTTATTCTTTTGATCCACTTGTGAATGGAAATGTTTCCCTGATTTCTCTTTCTGCTAGTTCATCGTTAGTGTATAGAAATGCAACAGATTTCTGTGTATTAATTTTGTATCCTACAGCTTTGCTAAATTCAGTTATTCTAATAGTTTTAAAGTGGATTCTTTTGGGTTTTTTATGTGCAATATCATGTCATCTGCAAACAGTGACACTTTAACTTCTTCTTTACCAATCTGGATGCCTTTTATTTCTTTGTGTCATTGGATTACTGTGGCTAGGACCTCTAGAACTATATTGAATAAAAGTGGTGAGAGTGGGCATCCTTGTCTTGTTCCCCATTTTAGATGAAAAGCTCTCAGCTTTTCACTGTTAAGTCTGATGTTGACTATGGGTTTGTTATTTATGGCCTTTGTTATGTGGAGGTACTTGCCCTCAATACCCATTTCATTGAGAGTTTTTATCATCAATAGTTGTTGAATTTTGTCAAATGCTTTTTCAGCATCTATGGAGATGATCATGTGATTTTTGTCCTTTTTGTTGAGTGTAGTGGATGATGTTCATAGATTTTTGAGTATTGTACCATTCTTGCATCCCTGGAATAAATCCCACTTGATCATGAGGAATGATCTTTTTGATGTATTTTTGAATTCGGTTTGCTAATATTTTGTTGAGTATTTTTGCCTCTATGCTCATCTGGGATATTGTTCTGTAGTTTTCTTTTTTTGTGGTGTCTTTGCCTAGTATTGGTTTTAGAGTGATGCTGACTTCATAGAATGAATTTGGAAGTATTCCCTCCTCTACTACTTTTTTTGAAAACTTTAAGGAGCATGGGTATTAGGTCTTCTCTAAATATTTGTTAAAATTCAGCAGTGAAACGATTTGGACCAGGAATTTTTTCTTAAGTAGTTTTTTGATGACCAGTTTGATTTCATTGCTGGTAATTGATCTGTTCATATTTTATGTTTCTTCCTGGATCAGTCATGGAAGGTTATGTTTTTCTACAAAGTTATCCATCTCTTCTAGGTTATCCACTTTGTTAGCATATAATTTTTCATAGTATTCTCTAATAATTCTTTGTATTTCTGTGGTGTCTGTAGTGATTTTTCCTTTCTCATTTCTGATTCTGTTTATGTGTGTAGACTCTTTTTTTCTTGATTAGTTGGCTAGGGATTTATCTATTTTGTTTATTTCCTCAAAGAACCAGCTCCTGGTTTCATTGATTCTTTCTATTGTTTTATTCTTCTCAATTTTATTTATTTATGCCGTCATCTTTATTATGTTCCTCCTTCTACTGACTTTGGGCCTCATTTGTTCTTCTTTATCTAGTTTCATTAATTGTGAGTTTAGACTGTTCATTTGGGTTTGTTGGTCTTTCTTGAGATAAGCCTGTATTGCTATATACTTTCCTCTTAGAACTGCCCTCACTGCATCCCACTGAACTTGGAGTGTTGAGTTGTTGTTTTCATTTGTCTCCATATATTGCTTGGTTTGCGTTTTAAATTGGTCACTGATCCATTGATTATTTAGGAGCATGTTGTTAAGCCTCCAAGTGTTTGTGGGCTTTTTTGTTTTCTTTACATATTTTATTTCTAGTTTTGTACCTTTGTGGTCTGAGAAGCTAGTTGGTACAATTTCAGTCCCTCTGAATTTACTGATGCCTTTTTTGTGCCCTAGTATGTGATCTCTTCTGGTAAATGTTCCATATGCACTTGAGAAGATTGTGTATCCTGCTGCTTTTGGGTGGAGTGTTCTGTAGATGTCTACTAGGTCCATTTGTTCTAATGTGTTGTTCAGTGCCTCTGTCTCATTACTTATTTTCCATCTGGTTGATCTGTCCTTTGGAGGGAGTGGTGTGTTGAAGTCTCCTAAAATGAATGCATTGTATTATATTCCCTCTTTAATTCTGTTAGTGTTTGTTTCACATATGTAGGTGCTCCTGTGTTGGGGCCATAGATATTTATAATGGTTATATCCTCTTGTTGAATTGACCCCTTTATCATTACATAATGTCCTTCTTTGTCTCTTTTTACTTTGTTTTGAAGTCTATTTTGTCTGATATGAGTACTGGAACTCCTGCCTTTTTCCCTTATTATTTGCGTGAAATATCTTTTTCCATCCCTTCACTTTTAGTTTGTGTATGTCTTTGGGTTTGAAATGAGTCTGTTGTAGGCAACATATAGATGTGTCTTGTGTTTTCATACCACACTGTGTCTTTTGAGTGGTGCATGCGGCCCATTTAAATTTAGGGTGATTATCAAAAGATATGTACTTATTGCCATTGCAGGCTTTAGATTTGTGATTACCAAATTATCAAGGTCACCTTTTTTACTAACTGCAGTCTAACTCAACTCTCTTTTTATGCTAATACAAACAGAAGCTAAAGGTTCTTTCTATTTTTCTCCCTTGTTTTTCTTCCTTCTGCACTCTTTTATATGTTAGGTGCCATATTCTGTACTCTTTGTATATCCCTTGACTATTTAATTTTGCTTTTGCTTAGTAATTAATTGGTCTGCTTCCTTTACTACAGTTTTATTTTCCCTGGTGACAGCTATTTAGCCTTAGATGCACTTCCATCTAGAGCAGTCCTTTTAAAATACACTGTCAAGACTGTTTGTGGCAGTAAATTCCCTCAACTTTTGCTTATCTGGTAATTGTTTAATCCCTCCTTCAAATTTAAATGATAATATTGCTGGGTAGAGTATTCTTGGTTTGAGGCCCTTCTGTTTCATTGCATTAAATATACCACTCCCTTCTGGCTTGTAAGGTTTCTGCTGAGAAGTCTGGTGATAGCCTGATAATTTTTCCTGTGTAAATGATATTTTTTCTCTCTATGGCTCCTTTTAATGCTCTGTCCTTGTCCTTGATATTTGCCATTTTAATTATTATATGTCTTGGTGTTGTCTTCCTTGGGTCCCTTATGTTCTGAGATCAGTTCACTTCCATGGCTTGAGAGACTATTTCCTTCCCCAGACTGGGGAAGTTTTCAGCAAGTATTTCCTCAAAGAGACTTTCTATCCCTTTTTCTCTCTCTTCTTCTTCTGGTGCCCCTATAATGTGAATATTGTTCCTTTTTGATTGGTAACACTTTTCTAGTTCTCAGGTGTTATGTATTTATCTATCTAATATTGACATTCCTAGAGATCTTTTTTCTCTGTGTCTCTCAGCTTCTTTGTATTCCTGTTCTCTATTTTCTATTTCATTTACCTTCTCCTCTATGTCTTCTGATCTGCTTTTAAATCCCCCCACTGTATGTTTCATTTCAGATATGTTTTTCAAAATTTCTGTCTCCTTCTTGAGGTCATCCCTGATATCCTGAATATTTTCTATAGCTCTGTGAGCATGTTTATGATTTTTATTTTGAAATCTTTATCAAGAAGATTGGTGATTTTAGTTTCATTGAGCCCTCTTTCTGGTGTTTTTGGGATTTTGATTTGTACCAGTTTCTTTTGTCATTTTGTATTTCTAATGGTTACTATAGAATAATAACTTTGTGTAGGCAGCACCCTCTATTGCTCTGAAGCTCTACTCTCAAGCTGCCCAGCACCTGGAGCGATGCCAGGGGTCACAGGTAGCTGTGCTATTGCCTGCTGGAAAGAAAGAGCTCTTTCCTGCTTCCCAGCTGTAGTGCCTGCCTCCACTGCCAGGGCCAGTGGGCCAAGCACGCAGGAAGCATCTGCTACATTAAGCCCCTGTAGCTTCCATAGGTAGGGCTTCCCTTCTGCAGGCCTGGTGCAATGGCAGGGGCTGCAGATTCAAGAACTGGTGCCATCTGGGAGGAAGGAGCAGCAGTCTGCATATCGCAGTGGGAGGCCTCAGCACTGCATTGCCTGTCAAGGGGATGGGGCGCCTGAGACTCCTAAAAGTTCTTAAACTGCTGGGCTGATTTTTGCCTGGTAGATTTTGTCCACCTGTTCCTTCTCCTGAGCAGCAAGCTCTGTGTAATCCATGCCCCTGTCACAGCCCTCTCGCTGTTGGGAAGTCTTTCAAAGCACCCACCTTTCTTTCATCCCAGAACAGTCAGTTATGAGTACCTGTTCTCCACAAGTGACTGGAATCTCAGTCTCTCTGAGTGTTCTGCCTGTCTTTGCTTTCCAACCCCTCTAATCTTCAGAGCACCATGGGAATGTGGGTTTTTGCTCCCGGAGGAGATATCCAGAGGTGGGTGTTTAGTAGTCCTGGGCTTCCACTCCCTTCCCACTACGTTTTTCTTCCTTCTGCCTGTGAGCTTGGTTGGGGGAGGGCTTGTGTCCTGCCAGATGGCAGCTTTGCTACTTTACCCTGTCCATGAGGCCTTCTCTTTTCCTCAGATGTAAGCCATTTGTTGCAGTCTTTCTTTCTGGTTTCTCTTTCAGGATTAATTATATTTCCTGTATTTTCATATTATGTGTGGTTTTGGGAGGAAGTTTCTGCCTCATTTCTCTTGCCACCATCTTTTTCCCCTCTCAGGTGTTACATATTTATCTACCTAATGTTGACTGCATCACAGAGCATTGCTTTTTTCCTGCCAAACAGCTTTCAAAGCTACCACATCGACTTTTGATGAGGAAGAGGAAAGGTGGCTTACAACATAAGTGAAGTGGGGAGTTCAGAGTGTTTTGTATGAATGAGTATATGCAAAGCTTTCTTAGCTACCACAAAGAAATATTCGTATTCCAAATTAGAAATTTACTTCCTTCTTACCAATAAGATTTTAGGACAGGTGTGAATGTGTTTAGTCTGTGATATTTTGATAGCAAAAGCAAAGTGCAATGATAATTGTGCAAGGTCTTCTACATGTCAATAATTTCCTCCTTGTGACTTCAGATCAAAATGTTGTGCAATAGACATTATAACTTACAGTTTATAAGATTTCTTTTGCTGTATTCTGCTTGTCAACACACAGAAGATATCCCTGTAAATATTGGCTTCCTTTTTTTTCCACTTAAATCCATAATAAGCATACATTTTATTTTACCACACTCACATATATAATTGACACAAAATTCTCAAATCATTACTTATCTTTTCTACATCATCACATTCTTATTTAATACTGAACTCTATTTCATTAAATATTTGGTCTTACAGTTCATTAGTGGGTCATATACCACAGTTTGAA